GACTCTCTATATAGTGAATCTCTCAATATAGTAAAGAAATTTTATAGCCCAAGGACTTCACTATAATGAGAGTGACTTGTATTTCAAGATTGTAGGTTTTATAAAAGTGAGAATCAATAATTTTATAAACTCGCCTACTCTTGTAGCTTCAATAATATTGAAACACTGACTCTCAGAATTATTTTCTTATCTCTTTTATTTAATTTAGGTCACGATATTTTACTTTATATAAGTCCTATGACTAGCAAATTTGGGTAAAGTAGACCCTCCGACATAGACTTTAATATAGCCAATTTTTGGTTAATACTAATTATGCGGCTTTTTAGAAAACCGCTGATTATGCACTTTTTATATAGTGCAATAATTATGGCATATTTATGTAAGCAAAATAAATATGCATTTTTGTCACATCTATACCAAATATATATAAATACTTGCTCGATTAGTAATAGTAAGTATGCAAGAAAACTTACTATAACTATAAGAGAGATTTCAATTTCAAAAAGAAACTGTATTTCCACCCTTCTTGAAGAAGGTTACTCCAGCTGTACTATTGCTTTCCATAAGACAGTACGGTCTTAAGAATAAAAAATTTAGAGAAGCAAACTGGTTGCTTGGATGTTTTACCAAGGCTAGGACACTCCAGAATACTTACTACCTACTACAAAAGAAGAATAGTGCAGTAATTTAGATCAGATACATGCCCGACTGCCGTTCAAGCCCAAAAAAACTAACATCTGATGAAGGTGTTTATGTTTTCATGAATACAATCTGCCGTATACTATGAAAACAAGGTCTTGAATCTCGGGTAAAGAAAAAAAACCTCTACTTGAACCAAAGACCAAAAAATTGCAAAGAAACTTCACAAGACAATATCGTAATTAGACCGTCGAAGATTGGCGAAGAGTCATTTTTTTGGGCAAGTCAAAGTTCAAGATCTTTGGTTCAGATAGGCGAGAGTAGTGTTGGAAAGACCTGAATTCGCCATTGTTATTGCAACATATAAAGCCGACAGTGAAATATGGTGCAAGTCCATAATAGTATGAGGCTGTATGAGTGTATATGGTGTTAGAAACTATTGTAGGATCGAGGAAAATATGAATAAGGAGCTATATCATGAAATCTTTAAAGATGAATTAATTGGGACGATACGGGCATGGCATTTGACAAATGATGACTTTGTCTTCCAACATGATAACGATCTGAAACATACGTCAGATATAGTTACCAACTGTTTGGATAAAAAAGGAATCGATGTTTTGACTTGGCTGCCATACTCTCCCAATCTAAATCCTATAGAGCATTTATTGGATGAGGTTGATTATTGTTTGTGGCACCTTCCTGGTAATATTTCCAGTGAAACAGATTTGTGGAATAAGATCCAAAAGGTATAGAATGAGATCGATGATGATTATGTTTTAAAGCTAATCAACATGATGCCTCAATGAATTAAAGATGTCCTTAAAGCTAAAGGGGGGTATACTAAATAGTAAATTTTAGAAAAAAGAAAAAAAAAATTAATTTGTTTAAAATAAATTTAAAAAAATTCATGTAAACTTTTTTCTGGTTTTGCGCCAGAATTATTGTTCACAAAAATTGTGGAAATTTAAATTTTTTTTAAAAAATAATAAATATTTTTTTGCGAAATTTTAATATTAAATTAAGGAAATTAAGAGCTTTACAATATTGAAGTTTATTAGTTATTTGTTTTACTGAATGCGAAAAATCACGCTCTAAAAATTTTAAATGTGCTAGAACAATAATTATGGGAGTCAGTGTAATTTATTTATTGCGGTTTGCAAAAAAATGTGAAATTTGATGATAAAAAAAAAAATGAAATCGATGATTTCTGATTTCCAATTTTTTAACATTTTTTAGACTTTTAGATTAGACTTTAAGATTAGGCTTTAATATACATAATTTTAGTAACTATATTAGATTTGAGGTTATTATACATATTTTATAAATCTTATGTCTAAAAAAATGGTGGTTTTTTAATCATTAAATTTCACATATTTTTGCAAACCGCAATAATTGTTCGGATAAAGTTTACCAAACCACCTTTTTCAAGTATATAGAAACTATCTGAAATTTCTATAAATTAATAGAAACTTTGGCGTTTATAGTTTATTATACATTACTATTTTTACTTAAAATGTCTCTAAGTGAAGTGGTAGTATTTGAAGCTTTGTCTGTGAAGAACCTTCTACTATTCAGTATTATAAATTATGGTTATATTTTCGAAAAAATTACCAAATAAATTAACACAAATCGAATGAGGCAAACCGGGCTCCAACCTGTATAACGTAATCCCGATATGAACCTTATTTAAACCAGATATTTGGCGGAAATAGGAGAACTTTAGGATACTAATCGGATTCATATATGTGTCAAATACATATCGGGCAGTGTCATGGAAAAATCATTTTTATTCACAAAAATTTGCAAATATTTTAATAAATTTGGCTAATTTTTTAGTCTAGTTCAAATCCGGATAAATCCATTATCCGTTTATCCATATCTGATTTATTCGGATATCCATTTACTATTGATATCCGGAATATCAATAGTAAATGGATAGTATATTAAATTCAGGATTGGAACTCTATTTTAGCCAATATAAAATTTATAATTTAAATTATCAAAAATGATAAAGAAAAATTGAATCCTTATCTAGAATGATATTCGTTGATCGGCCGATGTAAATCAATTGCTCAATAACTTAATTTAAAATACTTTCCAAAAACAACACTGAAAAATAATCCAAATTAGTTCACAGCCCTAGAATCTCCATACTTTATTATTATTACAAGTTATATTGACTTATAAGTTCTAAGTGGTCAACAAAAAAAAAATAATAATAATAATAATAAACTTTTAAACTTGAAAAAATTTATACTATTTGTATTTGTTAAATAATAGGCTTGTGATATGTATAATAGAGTTGTTTCGTTAATTATGTGATGATGCATCTCTAATAAAGGTCACAATGGCTGAAAATTAAAAATAAAATAAGTTTCCAAATACTGTATAATACTGAAATAAAAAGTTAGCTTCGCTAATAAATAATCTTGTGGATTCGATTAGTTATCCAATCAAACGAATGTCTTCCTATGAATCGAAATCTAGCGGTAGTATCTATTGATGACCAATAAAATGGAGAATTTTATAAAAATTTAGATTTACATGGAAATTCTCATACCGCATTTTCGTGAAATAACGCACAGGTGCGTTATTTTGAAATTTGGCCCGAATTAAGCTTAATTCGGGCCAAATTTCGAAATTATACCCCTGTGTGTTATTTCAAGAAAATACGGTATATTTGGATATATTTGAAACCGTCTAGATATTTGGATTTCTTGAGCAAATTTGGCTCCAAATTTTTTCGCGTCCCTGATCGAATGTCATGATCTAATTAATGCGTAATCCATATCAGGTGATACCGATTTAATTAAAGTTAAAATGATTGCATGAATGATGAGCAAAGTATGTAATAACCGGTGACGCAAATATGCATTAGTAATATTTAAGTTATCGGAGATACCAGAATGAGACACATTTTAGTGAATAAACCGGTTTGTCTGTGTGAGCATATTATATCGTATAAGTTAGCCAACTGATAGTAAAGGTCAACGAATACACGGTAGTCCGGTAAACTCCGTGACAATATATTATAAAAAATTCGTTATAAGTAATAAAGCTAATTATGTAATAAAAAGATTCACGAAATGATCTTAAAGTAAAAAATTTTGTGCTTATATTTGATTCGATTTACAGTACTCGAAATTATTAAATGTCAAAATGGGTCCTTTTAATATGAAACACTCCATGTTCCGGCGTTATGTATTATTATGGTTAGCATTAGAAAATTATTGTGAATGGACGGATTTTGCGCATCATCATATGCGATAATTTAAAAACTGATCTACATATACGTACGTATTGTGTAAATATAACCAAATCACGTGCGCTACCTAACTGCCAAGTACATTTTTAGGTGATATCTGTTTGATTAGGTTTGATAAAAATTATCGCCCAATCAAATTGTAAAATTTTTGCGAAACAAAACAAACGAAAAAAAAGAGAAAATGCGAAAATAAAGAAACGGAGTCTAAACCTACTTTGGTGCATTAATTAAAAATGTTGGGTAAGTAATTTTACCTATAAACCCTCTTAAATATAACTTCAAACAGCTCTAACCCTAATGTTAAATTAAATAAATAAATTTACAAAATTTACTCTGACCTTTAAATAATGAAAATTTGAAATTAGATATATAAAAGACGTTGATTTGCATATCTAATTCATTTCACATCAAGTGCGTAAAATCCGCCCATATGTTGGTTGGTGTGTTTTTAAAGACGTGGCTACACTCTATACTATTTACATCTTAAAATTTTATAAAATTTCATTTAAATTATAGCGTCTCATATCAATATAGTTATGCTACATTAGTATTTAGTTGTATATCTAACAAAACTATTCTGTATTAGAGTTTCTAAATTAAACTTACACTACTTAATGAATTATAGCCAAATATTCACCAAAATTTGTGGTAAATTATTTGAAGGTTCGCATTTGTTATAGTAATATATTAAAGCCTGCGCCATTTAAAATAAACTACCTTCATATGTTGATAAAAAAACTGTGAACCCAAATCTCCATAGGTCGCGATCTGCCGGGGATTATTAATTGATAATCCGTGAGGCAAGCATACATAGTAAATTGTGACGCGCAGGTCTAGATTTACTATATAAAATTGCTAAGTCGCAAATGCCATTTCACGACAAAGTAAAGTTATTTTTCTACTAAGTGAATATATTTTCAATTTTTAAGTAAGTTTGTAGAGCATTATTTTCTGATTCTAATGATAGTAAGATCATTAAAATCTGATTAGTAGATGCCAAAATATTTGCTAGAAAACGATTTGTCAACATACTAGAAATGTCATTTTTGACTATAGTAAAAACTTATAATAAAATGCGTACAGTTTACTATATATGGGTACAGTGTTGTCATGGGACAGGGACACGGACAACGGACAGTCCGCAACGTCCCGGACAATTAAAAATTGTAATAGGTGTGTTCTTTTTAGCCAATGAGGTCGATAAACTTTTAATATAGGACACCACCACGGACATGGGACATCGTACCGCGTCCCTGAAATTTAAAATGACAACATCCGTGTACAACACTGTATGGGTATATATGAACTGGGTGCTCAAAAAGGGACCAAGTTGACAATTTTTTTCAAAAGATATTTTTTTACATAAATAAATTTAGACTAAGATTAGAGTCATTTTTACTTAAAACACAAAAGTAATTGTATTAATAAAATTTTACTATGTTGCTCTTTAAAGTCGGTATATTCTTATGATTTATTATAAGATTTACAACAAAGATTGATTTTCCGAATATCTTTTTTTTTGTCAATTTGGTCCTTTTTGCAGCACTTGCCCATATGATTGCTTCGTAAATGGGTTATCAATTAATTTAGTATGAAAATATATTTACTGTACACGTATTCATTTAATATTCGTTAGTATGAATATAAATGTATTTAAAGAGAACCTAAAGATCTCATATAAAAGATTATTTATCATAAATCGTCCCCATTAATAAAATTGACTATTTAATTGCTATTCCCTGATGCTCTCTCAACTGAGTTAATAAGAGCTAAGTTATTAAACAAATCATTGATTTCAATTATTCGATGATACAACAGAACTGTAGCGTGAAAATCAAATAATTAAATAAAGCAAAAAATCATTCTAAAAGCTCTTTATTGTTAGTGTTAAAAATAATTTTGACAGCATTTTATGGTTGGGTGTTAAATAATTATCATTCCAATAATTCTTCATTGTTATTTAAATAATAATTCAAACAGCTATTTATGGTTAGTTATTTTTATAATAAATGAAAGCGTTCTCTTTGCAATCAACCTTTTTATTTAAAAACCATGACAAGAGCAAACCCAGCAAGAAATTTATTTGCTTCTTGATTATAATTTTAATCTATATAAGCTATCTAATCTCTTCGTTATTCGAAGTTTCCAATAATTTACAAGAGATTAAGGAGGTTAAACCTTCGAATCGAACACTTGGCTTCGATCATATATATGTTATTAGTCTTGAGTTTCGAACTGATAGGCGTGATAGAATGAAAGAATTGGCTTCTCATTTTGATTTAGATTTTGATTATTTTAGTGCCCCTTCCAGATTTGACAATAGCTTTTTTCGAAAATATGGTTACGGTGGATTATCTCCTGGCAGAAGAGCTTGTTATATCAGTCACTATTTGGTTTATAAATCAATAATTGATAATGGCTACCGTAGTGCTTTAATTCTAGAAGATGACGTTGATTTTGAAACTGATATCACTGAAATTATGACAGGGATTCATCGTAATTTACCTGCTTATTGGGATACTTTATATATAGGTCATTGTTATGAACAAATAGGTAAACTTGTCGATGGTTCTCTTGCTAATCAACTATATGAATCAGTGATGCCAAGTTGTACACATGCTTATGCCGTTTCGTATTGGGGTGCCCGCAAGTTGGTGGAAAAACTTGATCCTATGATACCACAAGGTGCAATTGATTTAGCTCTTCTCGCAAAAATTAAGAATAAAGAGCTCACTTCATATAGCGTTCATCCAATGCCTATTATACAATGGAAAGGTAGAGATAATCCATCTGATGTTCCTGAATCAATGAATACCTATTTTAGTTTAAAAAATTCTACCTTACGCTTCCTTGGGCACAAATTTGTATAATCATATTTTTATTTATCAACTTATTTGTATAGTATCTTTACGTATAATATTGTACACAGAAATATTTTTTCGTTTTTTCTTCTTTAATTTTGTAGTTGTCAAAGAAAATTATGCGAAAAAGCATACTCTTGCATATTTTTTCATAATATTATATTTGAGTACGTAACATATATTCAATCTTTTTACCTAGTGTTACCATTACGTTTAATAGAGTTTATAAACATGTCAACATTTGGAGTCCGTATCATTTTCTTGACAATCAAATACTTCACTGACAATTATTTCCCCAACACACTAATTTCCTGATAACCATTTGATCATTTCCCCGACAATCACTTCCCTGACAAATTACAATTGCCAAATTATTTCCCTGACTTCCCGGCACAATCATTTCCCGGTATTTCCTCCCCGATAAAATCAAATACTTCGACAATTACTCCCCGATTTTCCTGATAATATCTTCCTAAAACCCATCCAGAATCACCACCAATCAGTGCAAATCTTAAATTCTTTGCAGAAACCTCCAAATTTAAAAATACTATCGCATAGTTGTAATGATATGATAATAATATTGTAGTGACTTTAATTAGTTACATGGTCACTATGATATTATAGCCATATTATAATACGTAATTTAGTCTATCACGAGATTTGTAAATTTTGGAGGTCTCTATAAAGAACTTTACAAAAAATTGCATTTTTTGTCAAATATATTTCTTATATAATAATCATATAATTGTTATATTTAAAAATAATATTTTTTTATAAAATATATATTTTCATATTTTTTATAAAACTAAATAACTAAAATTGTTTAAAATGTATTAAAATATAATATAAAATATAAATTATATAATAAAGAATAATAAAAAATTGTAAAGATGTAATATAATATAAAGAATTTAACTAATATTAATAGTGTTGGCATTGGACATATGTCCAACTATTTTTTATATTATTGGACTGGACTGGACATTGGATATAATACTTGGACATATGTCCAGTCCAATATGTCTAAAAATAAAAAAAAATTTTTAATAAAAATATTGCTTAACAAAAAGTTTCTCTTAAGCTATTTTACTATTTATTTCACTAATTTCTAACTCTAATATAAATGCTAACCTTAAGTTTAACGAACTTTTTATAAATTTTATCTTTATTATGTGAATATGACTTTCTCAGTATGGCAAAACTTTCATTTTTTATATACCTGTTCCTACTTTTTTGATACTTATCGACATGCAGATTCCAGTAAAAATAAAAATTTTAAAAACTTTGAGTGAAAATTTCTTGATAACTATCTGTTTGAATCTGATAAAACCTTTTAGATTTGAATTCAATGGATTCATAGAATTCAAATTAAAAAAATTCATCAAATTTAGTCATATGGTTGTCAAGATAACTTTGCTCAAAATCAAAATGCCTGTCAAAATAGAAGCTGTACTAAATTTCTCTCTAACTTTGAGTGAAGATATCTCAATAACTATCTGACCAAATTCAATAAAACTTTTTTTATTTGAATTCTATAAATTCATAGAATTCAAATAAAAAATTTTTAATTAAATTTACATCAGGAAATTTTGAATATAGATAAGTAGCGATTACTATCAAATATTTGATAACTATTGATAATTCTTATCAATAGTTACCGGTATGGGTGATTATTAACGATAATTACCATTATCAATTTAAATCATTA